TAGGCACACAGATCCTATGGCTGAGCCAGGAGGGGCCCTGGCAGCAGGAATCGCCTCCTCCTTGAAGCATCGGCTTCAGACAGGACATAAGAGCTGGGGCCCTGTTGTGGTTCTGTTGGGCAGCAGCTGAGCTGGTCACTGCAGGGTGGGCTCCCACAGCTTCTCACCAGCATCGCTACTTGGGCATAGCTCTCTGGGTGAGCTCTGGCACAGGGGACACTGAGGCACGTCCAGTGTGGGCCTGTGTGAGCTGGGTACGTGGCCAGCCACACTGGGAGCCACCAGCTGCAAAGTGGCAGGAGCCACGGTGCAGCTGTGCTGCCTGACTGCAGGACTCTCCTAATATTGGCGTTTTATTAATGTGTGTTTGTCCCAAAGCTCCATGGGCAACTCGTCTGGCTGCTGCGGAATGTCAAGTGCCTCTTCCCCATGGCACCTCTGCCCAGGAGGGCAGCAGGGACTGGGGGCAGTGAGGGGGCAGCAGGGCCAGGGCTGGGAGCCTGACTGGCCCCAGGGTCTGTGTATTGGTATTGCCAGTTTCCAAACTTGGGAGGGGGGAGGGCTGGTGGTCACATGGTGCTGGCTTTGCCTCTGTCTTCCTCTGAGTAGCACTTCAATAAGCTATGGATCGGGAACGTATTTATTGTGGGGGATCTGCTGTCCCTTTCTGGGGTACCCATGAGGACAGCTTACCTCCTGCCCATGCTACCCATGGCACTTTAGGTTCTTTTGGTATGTTCTCTGTGAATAGGTGTAGGCACCCACAAGTGCTGCAGGTATTCATTCTCCTGCAGGTGATGGGGATGGAGCCCTCCTGCCTGCAGCTGCTGCCCTCCTGACAGCTGAATAAGCTCCCTGTCCCTGGGGCTGACCCACCATGGAGGGGGTCAGCTCCTCCAGGACCCCACAGGCAGTGGGGATGGTCACTTGGAGTTATTATGGACTCAGTGGTGTTCACTGTCTGTCCCTTGAGCTTCTGTCCCTGTAGCAAGTACCCAAATGTCAGAGCCTAAAATGAAGCTCCTGATCTTGACCTGGCCTAGACGGGGTCCTGAGGAGCTGCTGTCACTCCTGGAAGCAGGGCTGGGAAGGAACCACAGGGGGAGGCATTTTGGGGCCCCCCTGGAAGCTCCAGTGCAGGTGCCTGTGCCATTCCCAATCTGGGGTTGCTGATAAACCTGACAGAGGTGGCATCTTCTGTCACAATGGCACTGATGGCTTTAACAGCCTCTGCAGCAGGAGGGTCAGCACCTGTGTCCTGCTGTGCCCCACCTTCATCCAAAACCCCCGTACTCAGGTTTTCTGTCATGAAATTAGGGGTTCCTTCCTGTGTGTGCACACAGGCTCCACATCCTACTCTGTCCAGTCACACAGTGAAGGAACGGCCTCCCCTTCCTCCCCCAACTGTGAACTCTCCACCCATGGCTCGGTGCAGCAGCAAGCAAGGCACTGAGGTGTTGTTTGTACTGAGTTTTGCTCTTCACTCTGGCATCGAATAAATACTCTGCTAAAGCATCTCTGCAATGTGAGCTTGTTTTTCTAAGCACTGCGCTGTTGAAGCAGAGCTGAGGCCAGGACTGTCACAGGGCTGGGCTGGAGCACTGCAGGAGCTGCTGCCCAGCCTGTGGTTACCTGCCCTGGCGGGGGGCGTGTGGGTAGAGCTGTGAGCAACAGGAGAGAGGCAGGGGATGGCCTGAGGGCAGCAAGCACCCATGGCAGCCAGGGCTGAACACTGCAGGCTCCAGGACAGGCCAGCAGCTAGATCCCTCCTGGATTTATGTTTTTCCAAGCACTAACAGGCACGGAATAGGGGTAAGCAGAGAGCCCTCCAATGCTGTTTGGCATTCCTGTGCCACAGCAGCCTCCTGAGCTGCAATGCCACTGTCCCCTCATTGCCCTTTGCGTCTCCCTGGTGCAGCAGCTGCTGTGGTATGAAGGGGATCTGGGGGCTTCCCAGAGGGGACAGGTGCCCATGGTCATTCCTTGCCCATGGTCATTTCTCTCTTCCATACACAGTGAGTAAAGGCCACCAGGCTGCTGCCCTCAGGTTTATTCCCTGGGCTGGTGCTGCAGCTTGGGAGGGGCAGGAACAGGCATCCTGCAGGCACTGGGCTCCCAACAGCAGTGAGGGATAAAGCAGCCTGTTCTGGAGGAGCTCAGAGCTGTTACAACCCAGGAACAGGAGTGTTGGATTTGCCTTAGCAGCAGTAGAACCACTGGAACCACTGGCCCAGCACTGCTGCACTGGCTCCCACTGGCCTTTTGCCCAGTGGAGCTCCAGCAGCCAGACCCCAGCTCCTTCCCTTCCCATTACAGACCCCCCCCCCCCCCCGCCGTTCCCTCCTTGTCTGAGAATCTCCTGCAGGGACACAGGAGCTGGGGAGAGTTCCCAGCACAGAATGAATCCCCCAGCACAGAAACCCCTTACCCTGACGCAATCCTCCCCCATGCTGTGCCCAGGACCCCCTGGCTCATACACAGCGATGCTGTTCAAACAGCTTTTATTAGTGGTTCTGACCATACTACACCCTCAAGGAAAACAAAACCCAGTTCACAGTGCCAGGCTGACAGTGTAGTCAAAAGGGAAAAAAAACCCCTACAAAAATCCAGGGGTGGCTTGTGTCCAGCGTTTGTCCATGTGGCTGCCAGGCTGGCAGAGCTGTGCCCAGGACAGGGCCCCTGCCTGCAGCACATAAGCACAATTCCTGCTGCCAGCTCCAGAGCTGCTAAGAGCCAAAAAAGGCCCGGACAGCATCAGCACTACCAGAAGGGTGGGGAAGAAAAAGCTCCCAGTGGGAGGGATTGACAGGCCACGTTTCCCCTCCTGCAGTAAGCCCATGGCCTGAAGAGCTCAGCCTGAGCTTTGCTGCAGCATCGACTCTCCCACAGTCCTTCCAAACATGTGCTGGGGCAGGAGGACCAGCTCCCACCCTGAAAGCAGCCCAGATCTCCCCAGCTGAGCCAGTGTCTCCACAGTCCCTCCTGGCACTACCTGGCCAGAGCCCCCAGCCCCGCTGCAGGCAGCACCCCATGAGCAGACATTCTGATCAACACAGAACAAGCTCCCCCCCACATGACACTTAACTCCCAGAAATTCTATGAGCAGAGCTCACCTTCCTCTCCCTTCCCAGGCTTCTCCAAGCATCCCTGGGGAGCTGCTGTAGATGAGAGCAGGGCTCTGCTAGCCTGGATTTTCCTCATAAGGCACAGGGTGAGAGCAGCAACACAGGGCTTGATCTGTCCCTTGGGACAGGCTGGAGGGGGCTTTGCACAAAAGGAAGGGTCCTGTGACCCCTCTCCCACCTCAGGCTGTGCTGTCACCAGCTTCTGTCCCACTCCCCCAACAGAAGGGGCTGGGTCTGTCCCCAGACCCTGCACACACATGTGAGAAGTTCCATGCAGCAATTCCAAAGGGGGCTCACAGGTCACCCCAGCACCTGTCTGGAGAGCACCTGGCCAGCACAGCAGCCGTGGGTGCAAGAAGTTCAGCTTGGGCCAGGGTCCAGCTCAGCCTGCAGGGCATTGGGCACCCCCGAGTTCCTGGGCATGCTCACTGCTCCAAGTTCCTGGTTCCTTGCTCACTGCTCCAAGGTCAGGAGGGTTAGAGGCCCCTGAGTTCCTGGGCAGCAGCAGGGAAATTCCAAACAGCCCCAGGGGCAGGTCAGGGCTGTGCCAGCACATGGGGGGACAGCCAGACCCTGCAGGGCTCCCTGCCAGGGCAGAGCCTGATGGTGTTCTGGACCCCTCAGAGTGGCTGTGCCAGAGCCAAGGTGTGAGCAGATCACAAGCCTGGCAGGCTCTGCAGCCATCAGACCCGGGCTGGGCACCTGGCAGGAGCTGCTGGCAGTGGAGGGCCAATCCCTGGCAGCCACTGAGGGTGATCGTGCTCCAGCCCCACTGCCCGAGGAGCAGCACAAGAGCCAGCCAGGGCCCCTGATCACTGCAGGGTGTTCACAGCTCGTTCCTGTCATCAACAAAACATCTCCTGTGGCACGTTCAGCCACTGACAGGGGTGTGGGAAGCCCAGGCAAAGGAGGCAACACCCTGGATCAGGGCCAATCCAGAGCTACCCATGGCCACAATAAAGCTGCAGAGGGCACTATGCAGGGATGTGGCAGCCTGTTCTTCCCCACTAACACCGAGACACCTTCTCATGGCTGCTGAACATGTGCTGCCCAGAGGGAAGGAATCCAGGGACAGAAAAGGGACAGCACACTTCACTTCTCCAGCCCCCAGATCCTACCCAGCTGGCTGCAGATTCAACAATGGGGGGCCAAGTGGAGGAACAGCTCAGGGATGGGGAGGAACAGTGAGGGAGACCTGCTGCTGATGACTGCAGGTGCTGAGAGTGCAGGGGCTGGCCAGCAGTGCCCACTGCATGGGCAGACAGTACACATCCCACAGCCCAAGGTTGCAGTGCCCAGACAGACAGGACAGTGCAGCCACAGATGGATGTGGAGCTCAGCAGCTGAAGGCTGCTGGAGCTGTCCCACCGTGGGAACAAAGCCAGTTCTCTTTGCCTATGAGCAAAGACAGCTCCCAGCACAGCACCCATCCCACCCAGTGCTGCTCGGCACACAGGGCAGAGAGGGGCAGGGCGTGGAACTCTCAGGGTGCCCACCGAGCTCTGTGTCACCCTCCTCTCCTGGCACAGGAGGGACAATCTCTACAACAGATTCACTTCTTCCCCAAGGCCTCCCTGGTGCTGCCCCAAGGTCCCTCCTGGGCAGCAGCACCTCCTGCCCCATTCCACACTCCAGGACACACCACCCATCACACACCCAGCAAGGCTGGACTCAGGGCTCCCCTGCCCTGCAGCTGGGCTCAGCACCCTCCTAACACAGCAACGGCATCAAACCAGTCTGTGTCTCTCTTGCCCAGCTGGCACTGCAGCTGTCACACACCCTCCTTGTCTCCCGGGGTGTGGAGCAACCAGCAGTGCAAAGCCATGGCACCCCACAGCGCACAACTTCGAGAAACACGGAGATCTCAGAAGGAAATCCTAGATAGCTGAGCCAAAATCCACAGGAGGTGGAGCTCAGGCAGGGCAAACCACTGTTTTACTACAGAGAGCTGTGGATGTCGGCTAAGCTGGTAGAGCAAGAGCTGCACTGGTTTCCACTGGAGTCCAGAGAGCAGCAGTTCAGACATCCAAGTCTCTGCAGGGAATCTTCCATATTCCACAGCCTGCCAGTGTCCACCCAACCCTCAGTAAAGAGGGCTCCCATCAGACACCTCATTTCCACTCAGAGCAAAGGTCCCTTTCAGGAAGGGCTTTTCCTCTCTCTTGCTCTGAGACCTGCCTGAGGTGCAGCACAAGTGGGAGATGCCCTGGGCAGTGCTGGTTCCATGCTCACTGCTCCAAGGTCAGGAGGGTTAGAGGCCTGTGAGATCAACGATGGCTTTAATAAAGATGGCATCATCCCGCACGTAGGAGTTCTTGGCTTCCATGACGGACACGGGGCAGAAGAGGGGGCAGCCACTGGCGATGTTCATCTCCGTGACAGGGCGCTGGAAGGATGAGGATGTTACATCAGGGCGGAAGGCGTCGATGATGTGCTCCCGATTATTCTGGTCCAGAAGCATCAGGGTGACCTGTGGGGAAAGGTGAAAGCATAAGGGAGTGGCTGAATAAAAGACACATGGAAGCCCAGCCCAGTGACCTGCTGTGACACATGCAGGTACCAGCAGCCACAGCCACCCTGTGCACCTGCAAATCAGAGAAATGCCTCTGAGTGGGACCAGCAGAGAACATCACCTCAGTAATGTCCTGTAGAAATCTTCCCCATCCCCACATCCTGCTTGTTACTGGAAACTTCCCTGTGGCAGCACAGTCTGTCAGACTGACTGAAAATCTACACTCTGCTCTCAGAACCGACACTCAGGTATTTCCCTGAGCCTGCAGAGAGGGCTGTTGTCCTCTCTGCATCTGCTTGTGCCCACTCACTCAGCCTCCACGCGTTCCACAAACCTGCAGTACCCAGGAGCTGGGATCTGAGCTCCTGACAGGGAGTGAGCACCTGCTGCCCCTGAGCTCTCAGGCTGCCACAACCTTCCCTTGCCCTCAACCCCTGCAGAGGCTCTGTGCGGTTCCAAACAGCCCATGTCACCCCCTTGCCCCACAGAACAGCTGGTGGTCTCAGCACACCTGGGGAACTCCCAGGGCAGCCAATACAGAGCCCTTCCTCTGCGTTGCCAAGCAGGCAGGAGTGACAGTGCTGAGAAGCTCAAGTGGGTGCTAAACCAGAGAGGCTGCAGATGGACACAGTGGGCTAAGCTCCAGACCCACCTTCTGGTTGAAGGGCCACCGCAGCAGCGCGTCGTTAGGTCCCTTCATGACCACAAAGAACAAGGACAGGTGGGTCCCGCGGCCGGTGCCGTCCCCGTTCAGGTACACGCGCAGACACATCTTGTAGCCGTACTTGCTGGTGTAGAAAGCTGTTAGAGAAGTGTGGAACAGGCACAGTGAGAGTCCAATGCAGCACAGCCTGGCACCAGCAGATCTCTCTGAACTCTGAGGGCTCTGAAGTTTGGAATCTGGGAGAAGCCGAGTCTGGGCTGCACCAGAGGTGGTCTGGAAAGCCCAAGGCCAGGCAGTGCAGCCCCTGGCCAGAGCAGATGCTGTGCACAGAACAGCCGCCAGTCCCCTGGCTGTCCCCTCACTACCAGGGAAGATCTGCCCCAGAGTTGGGCCAATCCTCCTGCACCCCAGTGCTGAAGGAGCGGTGGTTCATGGCAGTAACACCGGTGACCAGGAACAAACCCCCTCCATAAAGCACCTGGCCGGCAGAGCACCCTCAACACTCCCACTGTGAGCTGGTGCCTCTGATCTGGGCAGGGGCTCAAGCAAGTGAACTTTAACTCTCATTTGGATCCCCACGGCATGGCTTGGACATGGCTGGGATGGGATGTCAGGCACTTTCCTTCCCCAGTAGTCCTGGGAATGGCTGTGGTGTGACACTAGACCTATGTGGGGTCACAGCTTGGAAGGGGACCTGCCACAAGTTACCCTCCCACAGCAGCACAGAGCGGTACATCTGGGACTGGAGAGGCTCAGCAGGCACAGGCAGAGATCAGGGGTCACAGCCAATATTTTACTGCAGGACTTGGTGCTTTTCCCAACAGGCAGACTATGAATAGCAGAGACGCTGCTCTTCCACAGGGTGAGGAGCAACAGATCGGGTCTTTGTCACTGCGTCCCTCTTGGAAATGCCCAGCTCATTTCCTCTGCTCCTTCCTCCCCACCTGCTTCACCCCAAGGCTCTCAGGACAGATGACCCCTTTGCTAGTCCAAGGAGAATATCCCCACTTGCCCCTCTAGGCCTTCTCAGCACTCCCATCACCCTTTGAATGTAAAACCCATCGAGGAACAGAAGGAAAGATGGCTAGAGTGGTGGGAGTAGCCAGGGAGAGTGACCATGCAGCTGGGCATCCTGCTCTCCCATGCCCAGGCAAGGAGCAGAGCAAAAGCCCAGTGAGGCCCTCCCCCTTCCCCCCTCCCGACTGATGAGCTTCACCCTGGCTTGTGGCGGATCAGGCCCTGAATGAACCTTCCTTGTACAACTTGCTGTTTTGAACTCAAGATTTTGGCCTTTTCCAAACCCCGTGGCACTCTGTCCTCACAACACTGCACGCAGAATCTCCACTTCCTTTTCTTTAACACAGATATCAGCTGGTATTTCCTTGTCTTTACATTTAATGCAAACCAAACAATTACAGCCAATTCCCTTTCTCATCCCATCCACAGCCTGCACCTCTCTCCTCTCAGCCCTCTCTTCCCTCTTGGAACAGCACTGGTCTGCATGCTTCACCCTCCAAAACAAAACACCTCCTTCCACATGGAAAATTTCTTTTCTCAGCCTGGCCTTGGCAACATTTCCCAAGAAAAGGACCTGTCATGAGACCCACACGCAGCTGAGATGCAAAAGATTTTGGGGATTTTGCACACCTGGAGAGAAGATGGCAGGAGAGCGGCCTGTTATCGCCTCCTGACGCTTCCGGGCAAACTCCGTTATCTTCCAGATGAAAACCCCATCGTAGGTGGAAGCCTCCATGTTGCGGATCTTCTCCTCCATCTCAGCCATGGCCAGGTCTTTAAGCCCAATGCTCCTCTCCAGCTGCCGGACCTGCTCAGTGGGACACACGGTGCAGTTAGAAACACGCAGGCTCAGCCGGCAAACCCCAACAGAGCCCGGCATCCTCTCGGGACTGCTTCTTATGAGAGACTTTCTCCAGAATGGACAGGGAGCATGGGAGGGAGAAACCAAGCAACATAAGCCAATTCACTGAAGCTTCTGTCTGCACCCTGTCACTCTGGAGAAGATCCATCAATACAGCTTAGTGCTTGAGCTGGGAACTTTCCCGTAGACAATGTAAAACTCCTTCCAAGGAGCTGCTCCATTGGCTGAGCAGCACAAGAAGTGAGAATGGGGAAAAAAATCCCCAATAACTCAGCAATGTGACAAAACTAAATTATGAAAGAAAAGAACCTACACCCTCTGGAGGGTTCATCCCTGCCAGCTCACACAGTGTCACGCCAGATCAGCTGCCCAGAGAGCGCAGGTACGCTGCAAACTGCACAGCTCCAGGTGCAGGAACACTAGGAGCCCTCCACAGGCATTGTGCTGGAGCAGACTGGTGGAGGCAGCTCCTTCACACCTCCAGCCTGTTGCTGCAGGCAGCAGCATTGATGGCACTCCTTTGGCAAAGGCAGCACTCCTTTGGAAAAGTCTGGAAGGTGAGCAGCCCCACAGATTCAGTGAGATGCAGCACAAGGAGATGCAGCGAAATTCTGGGTGCTCTGGCTGTTGTCAGAAAACTTTGCTGAGGAAGAACCCCTCGGTATCTTGCCCAGTTTGATAATTAACAGAGGTCTGATGCTTTACACAGGTCAGTTAAATTCCCAGCTTTTCCAGGGAGCTGCTGAGGGTTGGGCACAGGCACAACGGGTATTTTAGTTCTGCCTTCAGATTTGTGGAGTTTCAGGGTCGAGTGCTGAAGCTTTGCTAGCTCATGACACGGAAAGGAAACAGGAAACAGCCTCTGCTGGGAGTGCTGGAAAGCCCAGGTGAGCAGTTACACACCTTGTTGCTCAGTGTTTCAATTTTCTCCTGGTCCAGCCGGTGCTGGCGACTGTAGGCTTCAGCTGTCAGGGAAACTCTCTCCACCTCCCGGTTAAGCACACAGACAATGTTCTCAAAGGTAACTGTTTTCCTCTCAAGGGCCTCACACCTTCCCAAGAGCTCCAGGGACCGGGAGAGCTCCGACTCCGAGCACAGTGAGTTTGCTGCCAGAAGTGGGGAGCTGTTTTGTGATGAGGAAGGAACAGGAAGGGGTTTCAGGTCCCCAGCACCAGTCTTGAGGCTGAGCACAGAGCTCAGAAGCATGTAGAGATGCTCTGCCAAACACTTCCTTTCATGTTCCAGGAGCTTTTCATTTTCCACCTACATGAAGAGAAATACATCCCCCATTCAGCATGTGCAGCTACACTGTCACCATCCACAGAACAAATTCCTCCTATCCAGGTCACAACATCATTTTTAGATTTATAATTTATAATTTATAGGGGAGAAACCAATGAAATAATTTAAAAATGTGTTTTGGTGGGGGTGGTTTGGGTTTTTGTTTAGTTTTAGAAATGCTTCAAATTACATACAATGAGGGATGCTAAACGCTTCCCCCAGCTGTACTAGTCTGCTCTGCCTTCCTCCCAGAAAAACTCTGTCAGATGTACCTAACAGCAACAAAGGACAAAGCCTCACACAACCTCCTGGAGGAGGGATTTATTTGAACCAGGGGGACCTGCAAGAACTAAGTGACATAGAGAAATGGCCTGGCTCCAGTACTTTGCTTACAGAATCACGGTAATCACAAGTCATTACACACTTTCTTGAAGAGATCTTAAAGCTCATCCTGTCCAAGAGATCCAAGGACAGCTCCTCTGGGCACGCTGTGCCAGGGCCTCCCATCCCTCACAAAGAACAATTTCTTTCTAAAAATCTCATCTAAACCTGACCTCTGGCAGTGTGAAGCCATTCCCCCTGAAAGAAGCATAACCACCACAGTCCCAAAGCACTTAGAGTGCTCTTAAAGTAGGAGATTTCCTTCCACAGGAATTTAATTCCTGGGACGCCCAGACTCTGCACAGCAGATGATGTGAAGCTCCATGTGCAATGGGTTTAATCAAATACCTGAAGGAAAACAGATGTGACAGTTTGGGTAACAGCAGTTTGCAGCAACTCTAATGCTGGGACTGAAAAGCGCCAAGGTAACCCAGAGAGGAGTCCTTACCACCTCAGCACAGCCCACAGCCTCGAACCGGCAAGGTACTTTGGATCTGCCACACGTCTTCACATGGTCCCGAAACTGGAAAGGGAGGAAGGAAGGCAGTATTAGTATTATGTGTCCCTAGTGCTCCCTTTCCATCCCACTGACATTTGGGAAACTACAGCCAAGCTGAAGGATGGCCAAGCTACGGCTAATCACCAGCTGTCACAGTGCCCACTAAACCTGGGCCCTGCCCGCCACCAGGCATGACTTTCACCGCAATACAAATACAGCCCTGACACCTGAAGAAAGCCTAATTTCTCCTTCTCTTGATGGCTGGGAGGTCTCACTGCTCACAAGCATATGCAAGAGTGAAAAAGCAATGGCTACAGGTACAAGCTGCGGATGCAGAATAATGAGCTTCCCTGAGGGCTGAAGAATGGGAGGCACAGGCAACAATCTCATGAAACAAGGACACATCCTTCTTGGGCACTTCACACAACTCTGGTAAGGACATGCTACAGGTTGCTATTTTTACCTCCATCCCAGCATTACATTTCTACAGAGGTGCCACTAACCCCTCAGCACTGAGATAACTTGCTCAGATTCCCACACAGCGCATGATTAATCCAAGGAGCACTGTCACAGCTTCAGCTTGGGTTTAGTACACCCCTCACCATCAGATACCAAAGCTCTGCTCTGAACAACCACCATATTCCCTCCTCACTTAACTCCTACATCTGCCACAACAGATGTCAATTAAAACTAATTTGAAACCACTTTTTTAAAGGCTTCTAGATCCATCTGGCTTGTGTAATGAGTGGGTTACTCTGAGTTAACATGGCAACAAAATAATGAACAAGAGATTGGAAAAATAAACACAGGAGTTAATATTTAAACCCAGAGTAGATCACCCATGGGGACCCCATGAGCTGGCTTCCTGCAGAGCTTCAGCTCCCCCCTGCAGATAAGCTGGGCTGTACCCCAAACCCCAGCCTGCAGATAAGGTGGGCTGTACCACCACCCCTAGCCCCTCCTTATGCTGCCCATTTGGAAGAACTCTTTTGCTCCTCTTTTTGCCACTTCTCTTGCCCTGCCCTGCTAAAGGGCTTTTTCCAACACTGCTACTAAAAATATTTGCCTGTAGAAGGCAAGATGGTTTCAGATGCATGTGCTTTTTGAAAATGTTTCCCAAAACTTGAATTTTTCAGACTTTTGAGCCTTGTCCCAGGAGCCAGCAGCCTGGAAATGCTATAGGCATGGATTCCATTAGATTATTACTTAGATATCAATTAATACAGCTGGAGATGGGCTCTCTTTCCAAAACTGCAGCAGTAGTCGATGCAGTTGCTCACACAGAACATAAACCCATGAGTGTGCTTTTCCCACAGAGGCTCTGCTCCCGTACATGGTTCCAAGGGAGGTGGCAGTGGCAGCACCGACACTGACCTGGAGTGCCCCTGAGCCACATTACCTCACACCCATCCTTATGGAAAACTCACATCCACATTAACAGCTGCCACTCAGTTGTTTTCCCCACTTCATTTCCTAATGGACTCTGTACCTCCCTGATGCCAGAATGCCAAGTTCAGCCCATCAGGACACCAAATACCCCCAGGGCACAGAGTCAGATGGATACCTTCTCCCTGGGAATCTTCTTCCCACAGCCTTCACAAGTCAGCGGGAATTCAGGGCAGACTTCATCATGAGCCTGTGAAGGAACATACAGGAGATATTTGTCCTCAAATAAAAGGCTCATGGAGGTTCTGTAATGGGCACAACCCCAAGGGTTTATACCCTATTACAGACAAACACTGGATTTACCAAACTACACTCAGACCTTAGTCATGCTGATCCCTCTGAGCTGCTGACTCATCGTGTGACCTCCAGGTTACCCCAGTTTTGGGTACCTACGTAGCCTCAACTTCTATTTAAAAGATGCTACAATGACTTTTTAAAAATTCAAATTATTGCTTTGATGGCCAAGATAACAACGGGAAACTCCATTTATGGCTCTGCCAGGAGAAGACACGTTGATGCAGGTTGAGTGGAGTGAGCCACTACCTCAGCAGGATAATTTGGGTAGTTTTTCCACTGTAATGGTTATCAGTCAGCTGAGGCATAGGCCCCATGACAGCTCATCACATGCCAGGCTGAGCTGTCTGATTGTATCTTCACATTTGAATTAGAATACCATTTTTCAAGCAGAAAGAAAAATATTTTTAAACTGTTTCATTTACCAGTCCCTGCACACAAGCAATTGCCTCTGCAGCCAGACTCAGGGTTGGATGATGGCCAGAGAGGTTGAACAAACGACCAGGGCAACGTGATCCTCTGTCCTCAGTAGACTCTTTGGCAACAGTGCTGGCTAAATGGAATGCTGGAACATGCCACTGCTTCTGTGCCATTTCCAAACTGATTAAACCTTCCTGTCATACACCCACCAGCTGAAACAAGGCATTGGAAACACCATGAATATGCAGATCAAAACTCAAATTAAAATGTAAGAGCACTGAAGTCTCCTGCCATGGTAGGAACAGAAAAAAAATCCAACCAGGAGCTTTTTTAATGCAGCCATCTGAACCCAGATGTTTGAAAACTTGGTCACAATGGATCTCTGTTGCCTTCTAGGGGAACACACACAAACCTCACCCTGTCACACATCAGGAAGTGGAAAGTGAAACCAGCAGTAACTCCACCCCGGCTTCTTGGTCACTCTCTCCTTTTTATGCTTTAAGTGAGTAACTTAAGCTCAGAGTTTCACCGTGTGCCCCTGGAGAGATGACTGGCCAGCCAGCAGGCTTTGGAGGGCACTGCTGCCAGCACGGACGCTGCTGCCTGCAGAGGAGGAGGAGAAGGAGGAGGAGGCCAAGTGCCTGCCTTTATCGCACTCACTCAGAGTGAGTGAGACCTTTTTTCTACCCACCTACTGCTCTCATGTTCTAGAAACACCCAGTAACATCTACCCCATGACCCACAAAGCACTGGCAGAACAGATGGTCTGGCTGAAAGAAGGAAACTTTGCTGCAGAGGCAACTATTTTAAAAGGGAGTATTTTAAACTTATGGTTTCCCATGCCAACACATGGGTGTGAAACTACCACCCCCTCCACACTCCCCACCTCCCAGCATTTATTCTCCATCCTGATTCCCCTCTGCACCACAATGTAATGCCCAAGAGTGGGCAGCCCTGCCTGCAGCACGGGAAGGAGCTCAAAGAGCAACTGTTCTGCATGTAAATAGTTAAAGACACCCAGAAGCTTCAGCCAGCACAGATCCAAACATTTCTGTATAAACAGTTTCAGGCTCTTCTGGAAACCCCTGTTCCTCCTGCCCCACGTGGGTGTCAGAACAGAGATGGATGGTATCACTCCTGGAAGAAGTCCAACCCACCCTGGAGCCAAGAGCAGGGGTTGGCACTTGGGCCTGATCTGCCACACTCCACTCCCCCAGAAATGGGGCAATCCTCCTGTTTATGTCTTTCCCAACCCACAGCTGTAGCTTCTGCTACAGGGATAAGCACCACTCACATTCAGGCACTTGCTTGGAAAGTTTTTGGGAGCTCTAGAAAGCCATCTATGGCTGTGAGTGGGACTAGGCAAGAGCAGGCACTCTCCCAGAGGGAAACCAGAGTGGAAATCAAGCTGCAAAGGCATCAGAGAGAGGGGACAGCCATGGAAGAATTAAAGTGGAGCTGGAAGTCAATGGCTCACCCAGCAAGGCACACACCAGCCTACAGCATCCAACAGTAGGACCAGGAAAATCAAATGAGGCAGTTAACAGCCTTCAGCAACACCTGGTTCTTCCCACTGAATTAAAACCAAAGCTGCTGATTGATAAATTTCCTTCCCTAATAATAAGCAGAGACACAACCCCACAGCAGCCTGCCCATCACCCACCACCATCAGAGAGGTCATTCTCTGGGAGCTCACTGGAAAGGTTAGAAAACCAGACACCACAGCTCATGGAAGGATCAGGGCAACCAAGAGGATCAGAGTCAGGGACTGTGTGTGAGGGAAATCAGAATCACAGAAAAATGGAATGGTTTGAGTTGGAAGGGACCTTAAATTCATTCCAATTTCATTCCACCCTGCTACCGTGGGCAGGGACACCTTCTACTATCCCAGGTCATTCCAAGTCCCATCCAACCTGGCCTTGGACACTTCTGAGGGATGAGGCAGCCACGGCTGCTCTGGACAACCTGTGCCAGGGCCTCACCACCTTCACAGGGAAGAATTTCCTCTCAACATCTAATCTAAATCTCTGCTCTTTTAGTTTAAAACTACTCCCCCTTTTCCTGTCATTATCTGTCCATGTAAAAAGTCTCTCTACATCTTTTTACAAGCCCCCTTTAAGCACTTACAGGCTGCAGTGAGGTTTTCCCAGAGCCTTCTCTTCTCCAGGCTGCTCAAAGGTGTTGAGCTCTCTCATCTGCCTGCAGGCCTACTAGCAAATAGAGCTGCATGTTTCTACTGGGAATCTCCCACCTCAGTATCAGGAAAGCAGAAAAGCTGTACATTATTTAAATTTGCAGTATTTTCAGACAAGGTTTCTCTCTGAACACTCTGGCAGCAGGATGAGGCTGTTTCATCCCAGACAGCAAGCCAGCACTCTGCACTGCAGCTGTGCAGGGGAGTGCAGGCATACAGAGGGAAAAGTGGGTTTTAATAAGGGCAGCTGATCCCTGGAGCACACAGTGATCATTCCTAAGGAAGCTGAGGGCAGATCACACTGAGCTCTGAAGCTTCCTCATGAGGGGCAGCTCTTGATCTCTGCTCTGTGTGCCAGTGACAGGACTCAAGGGAATGGCTGGACTTGTGTCAGGATGGGGATAGAATGGATGTTGTGAAAAGGTTCTTCCCCCAGAGGGTGCTGGCACTGCCCAGGCTCCCCAGGGAATGGGCACGGCCCCGAGGCTGCCAGAGCTCCAGGAGCCTTTGGACAGCGCTGCCAGGGATGCCCAGGGTGGGCTTGTTGGGGGGTCTGTGTTGGTGTCCTGTGCAGGGCCAGGAACTGGGCTGCATGATCCTTGTCAATCACTTCCAGCTTGGAATATTCTCTGGTTCTATGCAATGCCAGGATGAGCCTGCTTCCCTACTTCTCCCTCAGCCAATGGGGAAAACTGAAGTTTAACCTGATCACCATTTCACCTCAGGGTATTGCTAAATTCAATTTCAACTCTGGAAGAGGCTTCTGCTGGAAATCATTATCTCCATACTCTGGTGGTGGAGCAGGACATGCCCCTGCTGCCTGGCTGCTCCGCTCATAACCTGCCACATCCACACATGGCCAGTTTTTTATTGGAGGTCTTGTAACCATGCTAGGAATCCACCAGCATGACACCGGGCTCCCCCTCCAGTGAAGGGACAAGGCAGGCAGCTGGGAAATGCCACTGTTGGAGCAGCTGCTGTGAGATACCTCTGCCAAAGCCTGTGGGAAGGCCACAGCAAAGGGCAGGGCTGGCAGAGGGACAAGGGACAGCAGGACAGGCTCAGAATGAACTGCACAGTGCAGCTCTCCTGCAAAGTCCTCTGGTCATGGACAGTCACTCCATTCGTCTCCTCTAAGCACAGCAACAGTAACCATAAGCAGACAGCTCAAGGGCTTGGCAGCTGGAAGGGAGCTACAAGAAGTAAGCAAAACTACCATGATGGCAGAGGAAAGCCAGCTGCCATGACACAGGGCACAGTGGTGGCTACGAGGGCTTGGGTGGTCTCCAGCCCCAGCACTGCCATGTGCAGCACTTGGTTTCTTGGACACAGTAGCCTGGCTACAAGGAAAAGGGTGGGCCCATGGAATTGTAGAGAAAACACTGAAAAGTGTCTCCAGTGTAAAAGAGAGAATTTTGAGGGAACCTGAATCCTTTGTGTTAAGAAGCATCGGTTGCTTTGTGCATCTCTGTCAGTTCCCAGGGGCTCAAGAGCCTGCAAGATGGGAATGTGGCACACAAGGCAGGTGCTTTGGGATGTCCTGCTCCTGTCAACATGGGGGTCCCCCTGACGCAGGTGTAATTAGCACTGATTGCATGATGCAGAGGGCTGAACCACTGCTTTATTCTTCTATATTAATACTATATTCTTAAGAAACCCATAACCCCTTCCAGCCTATGCAATACAGCTTTGACCTAATTGGTCAACCAACCAAAACAGCACCACCCTTTGGTAAACAGATCTCCATAACACATTCCACATTTGCCTAGCAACAGGTGCAGCAAGTGGAGATAGTAATTGTTTTAATTCTTTCTCAGCTTTCTCACAACTCCTCGCAGCCTTCGCCAGGGAAAAATGCCTGGGAAGGCCTGCGCCTGCTCTCTGCTGCCACATGCTACTCTGAAGTCCCCGTGCCCTTCTGTGCTGCAGTTCCTCCTGACAGGGAAGTCCTAAGCTGGTTCTATGCTAGGCTTGCTTGAACCTTTTCCCACACAGGTGAGTCAGGCTACCCAGCACAGGGTGACCACACACCCAGTCCTTGTGCTTCTGCATGGAGCCCAGCAACACAAGGCTGGAAAGCAGGAACCCAGTCTGTAATTCCCAGTGCCAAATGGGAATGGGAGCTTTCTGAGACCATCACACAGGCTGGTGCCAGACACAAACTCCTCCCTTGCTGGGACATGCTGTTGACAGATCCAAGCAAGTTCACTTGGCATCACTTCAAAGAAACTGTCAAAACCAAAAATGAAGTTTGCATCACTAGGCACTGTTGGCTCCAGCTGGCCAGGCAGTGAGGGGATGGGAACCCAACACACCCTCACTGCTCTCAGTGCCCTGGTGCCCCCCTGAGTGAGGACAAAAGGAGCAGAAGCCTTGTGGGGGTTCCTGTGGGCCTGGCTCACACCTCTGCTCAGGCCCAGGGCAGGAACTCTTGTTTTCAGTGTATAAGTTTTGTTCATCAACTGTTAGGGCTGATTGGACAGAGTTTGACTTGGGGATTGCTGGCAGAGGGACACCAAGGCAATGTTTCAGGTACTGAAGACAAGTGTGAAGGCAAGAGTGATTTCTTAGGGCAGAGGAAAGTACAAAACACATTTGAAGCGGCAGCAGGTTTTCTGTAATTTTTAAAAACACGTTCTGCCACTCCTGATTGCTTTCTACTATGAACAAGCATGAAGTTGTGGTACCCTCCAGGACGCTTTTTCCAAATCTCTCCACAATTCCCGCACCTGCATTCCAGCTGCCATACATTCCTCACAGCGTAGAACCGTATGAGCCACACTTAGCACACACCTCCACTTCAAAGCTCGTGACTTACAGCTTTTCATTCCCCAAGGAGCAGATGTCAAAACTATTACTTTTTGGGCCACCACAAGAAGGCTGAGCTGGTTTCAGAAGTGAAGAGCAGACCCTCTGCAGCCGGGGCTTTCCAATCCCCTCCCACGCATGCTCTCTGGCACTCCCCATGGCTCTACCTCCCACCACAGGTTTGGACGGGAAATCGCCTCGTGTCCGGGCAGCCAGCTGCACCAGCTCCTGCGGGGACTGTGGCTGGGATGTGTTTGTGGGCCTCAGCTCTGCCTCTGCAAAGTATAGGTGTGTCTTATCCCTTTTCCAAAAGCAGAAGGTCCTTTTGGTCACCTCCATGTGCAAGTCAGTCACCAGAAAATTGTCTGGTCCTGCTGGAGCTAGCTGCAAACTGCACTTCACCATCAGCCCAGAATTCGGAGCCAAAGCCTTCAGAAGAAGCCAATAAATGCTGTACTGGGTTTTAAAGAGAAGGATAGTCACCCTGCTACAGCAGCACCAAGTGTTCCTGCCACAGCACCTCAAGCATTGTGCCCCACACAGACAACGATGATAAAACACTCAGAGGAACAACTTTGTGAAGCAGGAGACAGGTGAACGAGCTTCAAAGACCAACAGCTCTGCTCGAAGCAATGTGCAAAACCCTGCAGATGAAGTTCCAGCCTCAGCTGAAAATCACCACCAAAACCTCCTGGGACACTCCCGGGCTGCAGCTGGGAAGGAGGGGCAGGACACGGGGCACACCCCTGGCTCAGGGCCCCCAGCAGCACTTTCCAAGAGGGAGTTTTCCCTACGTAAGGTGCAGTAGGGGCTCTACAGCATCTCCTAAGTATGAACAGTGGGCAGAAGGGAATGCCTGGTTATCCTGTTCTTCTGGAGCCAGGAAGCCACACAGACCAGAAGGGGCTATAGACATCCTTTCTGACACCACAGGCTTTTGAGTAACACCACTTGAGTTCGGAGTTTTGCACCTTCTGCAGCCTTCCAGGTTTCATTTAGAAAGAACTCTCTAAAACCAAAGTGACAACAACAAACTCAAAGAAAGCATGTTCCCTCCAGCATGGATTAAGCCAGCTTGTTCCCACACCTGACTGTTGCTTGGCCTCAGAAGCTGAGCTGATCTGAACCCCACAAAACTTAGTTTAAACACTGATGTCATGTTTAAGCTTAAAACTTAGTTCTCCTTCCTAAAATTGGACAATTTCATTTCCTTATGTCTCAGTTAATTCTGCTTCCACTGAAGAAGGCTGCATTAAATGCCCTGTCTGGGGTAACCAAGGGGAATGCCAAAGCTGACCCTGTGTATACTCCTCCTTAGCCCCCTCCTCCCATCCCAGTCCTGGGGGAGGACACAGGAAGGAAACTGGTGGGATGAAAAGCATAAATAAAAGGTGTATGAAAACTGACAACAATATGTTGATAAACAGGAGAGGGACGTGGCAGCTAGAGGTACTGAAAGGTGGGAGGAAAAACACACCAGAGCTGAGGAACCACAAACTCCCTCTCCTGGATATCACTGGGACCGTTTTTGAGGTTTTTCCTTTTGCTTTCATGGGCTGGGTTTAGTTTCTGCAGCCCTTCTCAGACTTTGCTCATGAATCTAAAGGTTCATGCCCACAGCCTGATTTTCAAAATGTACAGGCAGACAGACTCATCAGGAAACAAGGTCACCAATAAAAGGAAAAACCCTTCAGCCCCTTCCCCCCCCCCCAAACTACTTTATCCAAATGCCACAAAATATTACAGACTCTGAAAAATGCAGCCATAAATCCAGACTTAAATATTTCACATGGTCCACACAGCTTGAAGCAAAGTGCAAGTCATGTCCAAGCAGACTGCACTCATTCAGTTTTGTGTTTCCCTTTGAGAGCCAAACTTCAGTCTACCTGAACAGAAAGCAAAACTGAAATCCATTTTACTCCTTTTCTTGAGGCTTAAGCTTTCCAGCTGGAGAACATATTTCCCCTGTGTGTGCCCTGATAAGATTAGCAAGCCAGAAGTGACAGTATCTTTTCATTTGCAAGGGGAGAGCAGCCTCTCTCAGCACAACACACGATTTTAAAATTAGCAAACAGTGAATTCACTCTGAGGGACTTTCCATGTCCTCTCGGAAATAGCTCTGAGGTACTTTCCAGAGTGGGAGTGCTGAGCTGCTGCAGGACATTACCCACAGTGCAGCTACAGATGCAGCTCTTCTGCACCAGGCAGCTCTGCACTGTGGCCCTGAAGGCTGGGTTTTACCTTAGCCCAAGATATCACAAGGCTCTGGGCTAACACAGCCATTCAACGCCTCCTTTCCCATCAACAAGCCCTCTTCATCAACACACATGGCTTTGGCAGCATGGAGACAGCCAGTCCTGATTAAATGCCACAGCTCTTTGGCAGGCACACGAGAGGAGATAACACAAGCCAGACCTTGCCTCCTCCCACCAGTTCCTAGGAAAGAGCCAGCTTTTCCTGAGAGGGCACAAAATAAGCTGCCTCCTCAGGCTGAATGCCACCAGGGCAGGCAGGAGAGGTGACTCAGCCCTGAGAGGAAACAGCCAGCACTGCTCCAAACCCCCACACCCCCTGGACCACACAGGACTCCCCGAGACTCATAAAAACCCCTGGCAGGGAAGATGTCACAGATGCCACAGACCCACAGCCCACGCACTCCAGGGCCACACCACTATCAATCATCCTTTGTCCCAGCAAACGCCAAACTGCGGTTTGGGAAGATCAAGTGGAGAGTGAAAACAAGGCACAGGCTCATCCACACAGGAGCTCTTCATCAGCTGTGTGCAAGGTTCTGGGGCATCACACGCTCCTGCAGCCCTGATCCCAGGACAGCCTGCTGCCCTTCTGAACTCCCAGTGGGAGCTCTGGCCAGACCCAAGCACTCTAACACTCATCAGAATACATAGGGAGAACCTTTGGCAGCAGAAGATTTTTGCTGAGCTCTGCAAGACCACGTTAAGACCTTTTTTAAAACCAGAAGAAAAAGTTCAGCACGGCTCATCAGCCACAGCACAATCAGCACTGGAAGTTGCTGACAGATATAATTTGGTTTAGTTTAACGAAGATGAGCTCACCATAATCATTGCAGAAGACATTGGACTTCCAGGCACCAGCAGAAACTAAATTATGGAGCAAACAATCTGCAGACACCACCAGCACAGCCTGAACCTGAAAGCTCAGTACCTGGGTACCCTGTTCCTTGACATGCAATCCCCAAACTCTGTGCTGTGGTAGTGTTAAGCTTTTCACCTGACACTTCTTCAGTCCCACATCCACACCACGAGTCTCTCACAGATGTACAAATGGGGGTTCACAGCAGCAGGACCATTTAGCACCAACATCCTCATCTCTTGGACTGAACTTTGAACTTCAGCAGAAGGCTCAGACAGCAGGACAAAGAAAGACCTGCAGAAGCATCTCTCTGCTAACAGGCAGAGGCACAGTCTGGGCAGAACGCTCAGGCCTGATGCACAGCTGTTGCTTCTTCCTTCCACTTTGGAATGGCATCATCGAAAGAATCCCAATGTTAGCCTGGACAGACCAAGGTTAAACCAGCTCCTGAAACACGTCTCAGTCACTGCCAAAGCTCTGTAAACCACCAGGCTATGATCTTAATCTGGAGTGAGTGTTAGAGGGAAATAAAATGTATTCCTCTTATCTCAGGCCTCCCATGTGATGGCTCTGCCATTCCAAGAGGGATGACAAAATGGTCTTTCAGGAGCCAAAAGCTTCACATACAGTCATACACTACAGACTAAGCACCCCCAGCCACAACCTGTATTAAAAAGCTACTGGGCTCCTTGAGGAGAAGTGAGGTGAAAAAATCATCCTGCCCAGCAGCCTTGTGTCCCAGAACAGTTTGGGTGATGAGTGACCAGACAGTGAGCTGATGGAGTTTTAGGTTCACATAATGCAGAGAACTTCACAACCATTTCATGGCACAGCAATTTCTTGACAGTCTTGTACAGCAGAAAAGAGCTGCAAAGGGAGCAGGTGGTTCCCATCATGGAAAGAACATGCTCACAAGCAAATCCCTGTGCTCACAAGTAAATCTGAACTCATCTCAGTCCAGCCTGTGCCCCCAGCAGAGCACACAAACTCTCATTCAGGGAACCTCTTCAGCTGACAGTAAAGTCCAGGGATTTGACAACTTTTCCCCACTGTCAGTGAGCACAGACAACACCCTGAGCCTTCCCCAAAAACAGAGGGAAGAAGGATGCAGATGTGCCAAGCCTTGCTTTGGCCTGTACCTCGTACTCTTTGATGGTTCCCTTCCAGGTGCAGCCGCTGTTGATGCAGACAGCAGGCAGACTCTCCACTTCCCGCCGTGCCGCGTTGTCTGGGAAAGCCTGAAATGGAAAAAACAAGCAGACCACAAATATTACTGAGGAGTTGCAGTTTTGATCAGGACTTTGAATCCTTTCTGAAAACTCCTCCCAGACCAGTTGCCCCATCAACCCTCAGAGGTGTGTTAACAGCAACCAAATCGCTGTGACAGCTTTAAGTAGGGCACCACTACACACACGTGACCTGGATTTCAGCACCGAGGAGTCCAACACAGTGATCACCCTTCTCACTGCTTCAGAAGAGAGCTCCTAGGAATAAGGAGTTCTTAGAGCTCATGTTTTAAGCAAAAAGCGTAACTGGTATTACTGACACCAGTGATCTGTTAGGTTTCTTTCAATGCATTTTTCCTTACCGAGCTTGTTTCCAAAATAGAAATTCCTTCTTCATATATTCCTTCCTGGATACAGCTGGCACACTTTTGAGGTCCAGCACTATCAGACAGAAAAATAATAATCAAACACAAAACGACAACAAAAACAAAATTTAAGAATAAATTGATTTCTGGTAACTTTATGAAATGACAGCATTTTCTTGTTTTTAAAGCAACACATTGAGCCTTTGCTTGTGTGTATTGTTGATGCCTGTTTCTAATTTTTTTCTTCTGCCAATTAAACATTCTATCTTTCCTCACACAAAGGTAGGAGTGAGATAGAACACAAGGAAACTTCTCTGGAAGCCAGCTTGTGCTTAAACCTCTCCCATTTGAGACAACAACGAAATTATGACTTTATGACTGTGATGAAGGAGATGGGTGATAGACCTGGACTGCCTCCTCAATGGCAAAAACAATGCAGGTGATTCTAGAAAAGAGAACTTTGAAGCATCTACAAAGGCAAGTCAGAGATTACACATACCATTAGAGAAAAGATGATGCTGAACCTCAATGATTGAACACAGCTCCCTTACTGAAAATGACACTTCTCTCTGCTTTTGTTCTTGAAAATGCCTTTTCAAATATTTTGCCTTCCCACTGGAGGCACAGCAGTTACCTGATGATTTTCTTCAGGCAGTAGGAGCAGTAGCGATGGCCGCACTGTGCCTGGAACGGCCGCCTCAGGATGTTCTTGCAATCAGAGCACAGGTATTTGACCTCCAGTTTAGTTCCCAGGATCTCCTTTGCAAAGCCAGGCTGGTTTAGGTCCAGAGAACCAGGTGGAGAAGAGTTTGCTGCTGCCATGTGAACGAAAAGTTCTGGCTGTATGTCCAGAGACTGAAAATAAAAGTATTTTCTCCAACTGATTATAATTGCATGGGGATGATTTCTCATATAAACTGTGTTACTCACAGTTTATTAGACTGTCCCCCAACAAGTAAACATACTGATGTAAACCACACTACAAGCCTGCCTTCACCTCCCAAATATGTGAGGAAACTTGAATTTTAGAACTAAATCCAGAACACAGAGACAGGAAGGACAGACCTAATAAAACCCCCTGTCTGAGTTGACTGAAATGCAGCCTGTTTAGAGATATCAAGTCTTCTTGCTCCAAATAAGGTAAAAAACTGCCTTAAAGGTGATAAGAAATAAATATAATAAATTCAGTTCACTAAAAACCTGTTGGCCACCACAGCCTACCAATGCCTGCTTTCACACTTGTCAGCTATCAGGAGGGACCAAAATTCTGCCCAGAGGCACCTGGTCCTGGATGCTCCTGGGGGAAGCTGGGCACACAGTGGAGCCCAGATTTAGTGGTGGTGCCCAATCAGGCACAAACCGTTCTCCAGAGGGATGGAAAATGAGGACACAGAGGCACAAGCAAATTGGAAAGAAGGCAAAGAATAAAATGCTTTTGTTTTAGTTGCTTATGCATCTCATACCTTCATTCTCTGTGACTACATGCTACAGCCACCTAAAACACCCAGGGAGCACACCCGTGGAGTCCTGTGGTTGGGATGGGGAGGGACTTTAAAGTTGATCTTATTCCATACCCTGCCCCGGGCAGGGACACGTTCCACTGTCCCAGGCTGCTCCCAGCCCCAGTGTCCAGCCTGGCCTTGGGCACTGCCAGGGATCCAGGGGCAGCCACAGCTGCTCTGGGCACCCTGTGCCAGGGCCTGCCCACCCTGCCAGGGAACAATTCCTAATTCCCAGTATCCCATCCCTCCCTGCCCTCTGGCAGTGGGAAGCTGCTCCCCTTGTCCTGACATTCCATGTCCTTGTCCCCAGTCCGTCTCCAGCTCTCCTGGAGTCCTTTCAGGCCCTGCAAGGGACTTTGAGGTCGCCCTGGAGCTTCTCCTCTCCAGGCTGAACGCCCCGAGCCTGTCTCCGGGAAGAGCCCTCACGAGCAGAGACACCGCGAACCGGAGAAGAGCCCAGGGCTGCCTTCCCGTGGCCCGGGCTCCCCGCGGCCAGGAGAGCTCTCTGCCGAGCCGAGCTCCCAGCGGAGCGAGGCCCGACCCCGCCGCTCCCTGAGGGCCCCGCACTCACCGGCCCTCGCTGCGCGCCCGCACCGGAAGCCCCGCCAGGCCCCGCCCCCGACACGTGTGGCGAGCCCGGGCCCCGCCCACCGACCGGAACGGCCCCGCCCCTGGCATCGCCCCGCCCACATGACCCAGTATCCCATCCCGAACGGCCCCGCCCCCGGGAACGGCCCCGACACCCCCCACACCATCACCCACCCTTGTACTCCCAACACCCCCACACCGACACCCTCGACCACCCAACAACACGCACCCCTGCATTCCCAATGTCCCCAACACACCGTCACCCATCCCTGCATCCCTGACACCCCCACTCCGACAACCACCGCACCGTCACCCACGTCCGCACCCTCAACACCCCCACATCAATCTCTGTCACCACACCCACCACCCCACCGTCACACCAAGTTATGCCCCCTGCCCCCCCCACTGTCACCCCTCAGTCACCTCCCCTGAGCTCCTCAGTCACTCCCTTACCCCGTCCTCTGTCACTTCTTCCCCAGCACCCTCCTCGCTGACCGCCCCCTGTCCCCTGCCATATCCCTGCTTCAGACGACCCTGCTGGGAATGAACCCAGGTCCCCGGGACGCCCTCACACTCCTCCAGGACGATTCATCTACCCCCTGGGTTCCCTCATCCCTCCTCCGTGTCCATCTCATCCACCTCCTAGGACCTCCTGGGCGCCCTCGTCCATCCCAGGGACTTCCCATCCATCCCGTGGGACCTCCCCTCACGCATCCCCTGCATTTGCTGGAGGGGGGAAAAGATGGACTGTGATGCTCAACCTGGGGCCACCTCACCCACCCGGGGTCCCATCGGGGACAGCCATCTCCATCACCAGCACTCCGCTGGTGAGCAGCCACTGGTCCCTTGGAAACGGCCCGCAGCGAGCCCTGGCACCCTGAGGAATTGTTTTGAAGTCACTTTTGGCCATTTTGGGTACCAGTGGGCCCTCGCCTACCTGCGCACAGAGTGTCATGGCCACCTCGCGTCCCGTGGCGCCGGCTCGGGGGACAGGTGGAGGCCAGCGGCCGGGAAGGATGGGCGGTGGCAGGACGGAGACGGCAGGACGCCGATCGCAGGAAGAATGCCGTGTGGGGGAAACGCGCGGCGCAGCACGCACTGAGGTCACGGCGAGGTGCTTTTTGCAGAGGAACTTGTTCGGCAGAAAGTCACAGCAGCAAGATTTGTCACCCGGGGTCCCCAGCCTGCCTGCCCCCCTAGCCCGGCTCCAGCGCGGGGGCTCCGGGGTTTTACCGCCTGCCGCGCCGGCGGGGCGGGGATGGGCGGGCTCTCACTGCGGGGAATTCACCCGGCGCCGGGGAAATCCTCGTTGTCAGAGCCGGGCGCAGTGACCGAGCAGTGACACAGCGGCCAAGGTGACTCCCGGCAGCCTGGCTGCGAAGATGGGGCCGGAGAGGAGGGGGTCGAAGTGAAGGGCGCGGCAGGGCCGCGGGGGCTCCGGGACACCGAGCCCTTGGCGAGGGGCCAGGTGCTGCTCAGGCACCGTCAGGGCGGGATGCTCCCTGTCAGCGAGCCGGGGACAGTGCATCCCTGCGTGTGTCGGCACCGGGAATGGCACGGGCACAGCTCCCCCGACATGGGAACCGCTCCACCCACTGCACCGCAACAGCCCTTTTCCCAGCACAGCCGCACTGCTCTGCGAACACCGGCATGGAAAACTTGGTGATGTCATCCATCGAAAAAAAAATCCTGTCTACATTTCCTGAAATGACCGTGACCTGGCAGCAGGACATGCTGTTCCCAAGGGGACAGGAAACCCGCACCAAAGGCTTGCTTGGAACGCCCGCCGAGGGACGGGACCGCGGGGCTGCTCCCAGTCCTGCCGGGACACGCCGGCTGCACCGCACGGCCCAAGGAGAAAGGCTTGCACCCCGCTGATGCCCCACCTCCGGAGCTGCTTTCTCCCGGTGCCCGGGAGCCGGGGCCGGGCGTGTTGCGGTGAGAGATGACAAATGCAAACCCCCGGGCCGACCTGATTTCCAAGCAATGCCTGGATCATCACCGTGACCGCGATCCGGCCACTCGTTGTGCGCTTTGTCATGGGAAGACCCCACAAAAATCCGCCTGGGGAGTGTTAACTTTGTGCCCTCTCGCTTCAGAAATGACGAGAACAGGAACAGCTTTTCACGCCTTTACTGCAACTGCGAAACTTTCTGGGTGATTCTGATGCAGTTTAGGGATTTTCATCGAATCACAAAATATCCTAAGCTGGAAGGGACCCACCAGGATCACCCAGGCCAGCCCCTGTCCCTGCCCAGACCCCCACCAAGCCCACCCTGGGCATCCCTGGCAGCGCTGTCCAAAGGCTCCTGGAGCTCTGGCAGCCTCGGGGCCGTGCCCATTCCCTGGGGAGCCTGGGCAGTGCCAGCACCCTCTGGGGGAAGAACCTTGCCCTGAGCTCCAGCCTGAGCTGCCCTGGCCCAGCCCCAGCCGTGCCCTGGCTCCTGTCCCTGTCCCAGAGCAGAGATCGGAGCTGCCCCGCGGGAGGAGCTGCAGCGCCAGTGAGAGGCTCGACCTCAGTATCGCCTTCTCTGGGCCGAACCAACCCAGGGCCCTCAGCCGCTCCTCCCTTGGCCCCTGCGGACCGTCCCGATGCCCGTGTCCGTCCTGTAGACGCTTTGCTGGGCTCCCCGCAGCACGAAGGTCCCACGGCACATCCCTGCCCGGCCCTGCCGGTGCCCGCAGGCGCGCCCGGTGCCAACGAGCCAGGGGAAACCGACACGGCGAACCGCCGCACTGCGCATGCTCGGCTCGGCTCAGCCGAGCAGGTCAACGGGTCTTGACAGCGCCGCAGAACAAACCAATCCCTGCCGGGTGACGGGTGACTGGCAGGGCCGATAGCCAATCTTAGCGTGTACAGGCACGTGCCGTCCGCCCCAGGTTGGCGTGGGCACCAGCCAGTCACATAGCGGGAAGGCTGATTGGCAGGTAACTGCGCCTATCAATCGGAGCTGCGTCGCGCCTGGGTGCAGTTAAGCCAACAGTCCGTGCAGGAATCTAGGCCCCGCCCTCTGCGCTCGCTCCTGTCTTCACCTATGAGCGCCTGCTTTTCCTGACGGGCGTGCGCCTCGCCCTATCAGCGGCCGTCGCGCGGCCGCGCCCCCGGAGGCGGGCACTGGGCGGTGCCCGGCGGCGGGCGCGGCCCGGGCGGGGTCGGAGCGATGGCGGAGAGCGACTGGGACACGGTCACGGTGCTGCGCAAGAAGGGCCCGAGCGCGGCCCAGGCCAAGTCCAAGCAGGTCAGCGGGGGGAGCGGTGCGGGGCCGGATGCGGGCGGCAGGCCTGGGCTCGGCGTGGTCGAGGCCACCGCTCCGAGCGGCGCCGCGCTCACCGCGCACCTTCGCTCTTTCCCCAGGCGATCTTGGCGGCCCAGCGGCGCGGGGAGGACGTGGAAACTTCCAAGAAGTGTGGGTATCCCGCGGGGGGTCCCGGTCCGGTTTGGGGCGGCTGCCTGGCACGGGGCGAGGAGGCAGACGGCGGCACCGCCCGGCTGGGGCGGGATCCCGGGCTGGGCCGTGACTGGCGGCCCTGGGAGCCGCCGGGATGGCGCCCCTGGAGCTGCCCCTTAGCTTCTGCTTGCCCAGGGCAGAGATCTGCCTGGTTCCTGCAGAGATCTTGGAAGAGCTTTTGTGATCACAACACTTAAGCTCCCCAGCTTCTTTCTTTTGCGAATTTGAATGGCTGCCGACATTCCTATGGCGCTGCTCTTTAAAAATTCCTTGTTTCTTCTCTGATGTAAGTTGCTGGGTTCTCTCACTGTAGGGAGGCTAGTCTGATGGTTGGAAGTAGAGAGATGATCCTTGAAGAAGGTTAATCAGCTTTATTGGGACACTGAATGTCAGAGACTAATGTGAGAGAAAGGATCCAAACTAGTGCTTAAATACTATATTTAACATGAGAGAAAACAATGTTTTTGAAGCTTTTAGCAAAGCTAACTACAATTAGACTTTACTTATCAAAGATGTCAGAAAATTGGTTAAAAGCTACTTACTTGGGGTGCCTTGTACTGAGCAACCACAATTCAAGTTCAAGTATTGACCTCTCTGTGCTGCAGCACAAATATGTGTCTGTAGTAAGGTTAGAGCATTAAATCCCCAACGAAAAGAAGGACTTGTCCTGTCTGGAGGGAAGTTCAGGTGTGAAGTAGGGAAAAGGAAGGGCTCTGCATGGCTAGGTGTGCACAGCACTACGAGCAGGGTTAGGTTCTCCTGCCTGATGGGCAGGAGAATTGGGTGAGATCAGTGTTGGTGTGTTAAAATCCTGAGAGCGCCCTGGGATCCTGGGCAGCTGAGGGCTTGGGAAAAGTCCTTTGATACTTTCTGGCACAGCTCTGAGCCTTATTTTGTTTGTCCTTGGTTGTTTTTTCGTTCTTGCTTTGAATAACAGGGGCAGCAGGCCAGAACAAACAACACTTCATTACAAAGAACACGGCCAAGCTTGACCGTGAAACAGAGGAGCTGCACCATGATAGAGTTTCCCTGGAAGTGGGCAAAGTGATCCAGCAGGGCCGACAGAGCAAGGGCCTCACGCAGAAGGACTTGGCCACGGTGAGTGGAGCACCTCCAGGTGAGGGTGGGCACCTTTCTGTTCCTTCATGGGCAGCCACAGTGGGATGGTGTCATGGGCTGGAAGTTTGAGGAATGCAGTATCGCTGGTGTCTGCTGTCCTGGCAGCTTCAGTTGTCTGGGAAAAGTTTTGAGGTTTGTCTGTGCAGCCCTTGAGTCCCAGGTTGGAGGCAGAGCCTGTCTGTGGCTGCTGAGCTGGTGGGAGGCTGCTCCCTTCTTCCTCCCAGCAGCTCACACCAACCCTAGAGGTTTGTACCATCTGGGCTGAGCAGTGTTAGCAGCTCCCTGCTATCTGAAGGAACAGCAATCCCTGGTGTTCCTATTCTTCCTGAGAAGGAGGGAGGTCAAAGTCCCTTCAGGATGGATGTTACCAGCACTGGGACACTTCAGGGAGGTGCCCGTGGGGATGGAGTCAGCCTGGGAGCAGCACTTTGTCATCTGTCCTGGCATAATGAGTGGCCATTCCTTATCTGTGTGAGTCCTGGGGGGCTGCTGCTGAGCATTGCTGTGTTTGAGACTCATCCTCTCTTTTCAGAAAATCAATGAAAAACCACAAGTTATCGCTGACTACGAATCAGGACGAGCGATCCCCAATAACCAGGTCATGGGCAAGATCGAAAGAGCCATTGGTGAGTTAAGGGAGACTTCAGAAATACTGCTTGGAGGGGTGGTTTGGGGGAAAGTATTTACCTTTTTCCTGTGAGGAGCGTTGCTGCCTGGAGTTTATTGTGGGTGTGGCGCCATTAAGTCATGTTCTGGTAAAACCTGGGTCTGCTGACTGAACCAGAACTGGGAGCTCTTGATCTTTGTCTGCACCTTCAGGCCTGCAGCTGTGCCCTGGGGACCATCCCTGTGTGCTTGCCCCCAAAACCTGTGAGATGCTGAGACCCATGGAAGCCTGATTGCACTTGTAGAAGGATTTTGTGTTTTACTCTCCTGGGCTGGTTCAGATTCCATCCAATTGGGTTTTGTTTGAAGTTGGTCTGGTGCTCTTAGAAACTAAAGTAGGATTCTCCTGAACTCTGGTTCCCCTGCTCTGTTTCTGGATGTTCTCTTCCTTAAGGCTGAATTTGGTGAAATAAAAGTTACTGGGTGAATTGATTGAGTGCTGATGGTGGTGCTCTCCTTTGTCTTATTCCAGGCCTCAAACTCCGTGGAAAGGACATTGGAAAACCGCTGGAAACTGGCCCCAAAGGGAAATGACAACAAAGCCTCGAAATCAGTTTGCTCAGACTGATCTGGTTCTCCTCAACCACTCTGCATATTGCCAAGCTGAACAAGAGGGTTTCAGACTTGCTTTGGGGGGAAATCTGCTGAATCTGTACCTGCTGTAAAAAGGCAACCTTAAAGAAGCAATTTTCCTGATGTTTGTTTTTCCTTGCTCCTTTTCAGAGATTGAGGATCTAAACCCCAAGAAAAAACCCAAACCCTGCCTCTGATTTGCCAGAAAACATGTACATTGTGGTGTTAGCAGCAGCTGATGTTAAGGCACTTAGGGTGGTCTGAAATGTGAGGATTTAATTGAAACAATTTGGGAGATGGGTGAGATATATTATATATAAATAATAATTTGGGAGAGTTGGGGCTTGATCAGAAATCATGACTCAGTCACTGTATCTCAATGAGTTTGGTTTGTTCTTTCCAGCCTGTTTTAAAGAGATCTATAATAAAGTTTGATACCCTTCAGTTGCCCAGGGGAGCTGCTGCATGTGACCAGCTGGTAGTAAATGGCTGGGTGTGACTGGAGCTGCATCACCTCTTCTTCCTTCTGGGATTGTAATTAAAGGGATGCCTGGGGTGGCTGGGATGAGGGCCAGCACTGTCACAACCTTCCTGGCTGTGTCATCTCTCCCTGCGTCAGGGATGGTGCAGCTTGGCCAGCAGCTTGGGGCTGGAATCAGTGCTGTGGAGGTGAGGGGAGGCTGTGGGGATCTGCAGAGCCAGGCAGGTGCAGAGACATCAGGTGAAGCCTGAGCCCTCTTTGCCCTTCCCCGCCTCTCAGCTCTCTTGGGCCCTCATTTCTGCAAGCTGCACAGGGCTATGGGGGTGGTGCTTGGCATGACTGAGGCATCACCTCAGGGGGACACAGCTGGGTGAGAAGGAGACAGGCTCTGGTCACAGTCTGGGAAAGCAGGATGTCCCTCCACTGTACATGGGGGCTGGGGGTAGCAGGACACTCCTTGTTGTGCAGGGGCTGAACTAGGCTGTGTGTGGGGCTGGGTTTGGAGTTCTCAGGTAAGGTGTGAAAGCTGGGGGTGTAGGGTGGGGTCCTGGGCTCGGCTGTGCTGGCTGCAGGGTGGGGGTCCAGTCCCTGAGTCCAGCCTGCACCTCAGCCTGCACTGGGTTTCCCAGTGACCTTTATCAAGTGCATTCACAAGGTGTGTGGGCAGCATGTGGGCATCTGTACAGCAGAGTGGGAGCTGCCTGCTGCCCTCAGGGGAGCTGTGTGATGCTCCCCTCTGCCCCCTGCCCTCCCCCCCACCACTCACCCTCCCCAAAACCAGCAGAAGCACTGAGCTTCCTCCCCCTGGGGTTTCTGCTCCCTGGGAGCTCTTGTGCTTTGTCCTGGACTTGGAAAGTGGCTCACACGCTCTGCAGCACCCACTGCTCTTCCCAGCTCTGGGGGCCAGGACCCCACACTTCACCCCCGCTTCCATGGCCAGAACTCTGGGTGGGGACAGCCACTGTGAGAACTCTGACTCGTGCCCCCTGCCAAAGCACGGGCCCATTGCTGTGTCTTGTA